ATCCTGTATTATTTGGCTAATGTATCTCGTCCTAGGTCTTCCTCTTGATATTGTACCCTCTATCATTTCTTCGGTTATTAAACTATGCGATTTATCTCCATGCCTCAACGTGTGTCCTATCATCTGCCATCTCCTCTTTATAATGTTTATCAATGTTCGTTTTTCATTTATTGTGCTCAGGATGTCTTCATTTGATCTTCTATCAGTCCAGATTATTCTCTACATCTTTCTCCATCACCACATCTCTAGAGCTTCTAACATTTATTTTTCTTTCTTATTAATTGTCCAGGTCTCACTTCCATATTTATATACCTGTTTAATTGTCGAAAAAGTCTAAATTTGTTGTTATTTCAAAGTTTATATATACATACAATTAATGAATATAAATATAAAAAAACAAAATGTTGTGTCTTGGGGTCTTGTATTAAAATATAGAATTTCGAATTACTATTTGAAATTACAAAGAGGTAGAGAGCAAATATTATTTTATTAATGTCTTCAATTCTTTTTTGTCTATGAAAATTATATGTTGCACAATGATAATTATTATTATACAATTTTCATTTAATTAAGTCAAAATGTATGTGCTGTCAGCGTTGGTATGTAACGTAACGTCATAAATCATTTTGTGGTCTTAGCTGAGCTTTTTTATTGTTTTTGACTGGGTCACGACGTCTGATGAAAAAATAATTTAGGGTAATGCAATTTAAATTGTTATGAAATTTGATGATGATGAAATACTATACCATATAATATAGTGTAATTGTTAGGTATTTGGCTAGTCAATAGCTTAACTGATTTTGTATATATTGCTGTATTCCCTATTTATTTGTAAATTCGTTCTTTTGTGCTTTGCTCGAATTATTTATATATTACTTGCCACAGAGTGTGTGAAATAGTTTGTTGTTCATTATTTTATTATCATTTATAATCACATGAGACAATTACTATTATACACATTACTATATACATTATACACATTATTATATCACATTACTATTTATAAATATAATATTTTATACTTAAGTAAAAAAAAGCCCAGTACATACCCTCAAACATAGTTAACGTATATTTGTGTTTATTTGTTAATTATTATGAGTTTATAATGAAAATTTTTTATTTATATTTAATACACGCCATACAGTTTTACAAATAATATATTTTACTCGAAAGTAACGCGAAAATTCATGGGAAATTTGAATTAATTAATTGGTAAAATAAATTCTAGGATTATCCAGTTCTGAAATAATTAGTGCTTCAAACCGTGGGCCAACTTTTATTAAGTAATTTTATGTACATTTATTGAAATCTGAAAGTTTAAACATGTACTAATATTTTGTTTCGATTATTTTTAAATTAATTTTATAATTACTACCATACAGGGGCGTTTTTAAGGGGGGTGATATGGGTATTAAAACAACCCCCATCGACCGGATTTTATGGTATTTTACCTAATTGCAAACTTATAGTATAATTTAAATAAACTTTGTATATAACTTGTAGATTTTACATATACTGTCTTAATATAATAATTTTTATAAAAACATGGTATTTATTAATATAATACGGGGAGAGAGGCGGAGCCCTCGCTTACCATAATTTTATTAAATTTTTAAACACCCCCGTTAAATGAATCCTGGATACGCCACTGCTACCATATCCATAGTATATTTTAAGTTTAAATTACATATTGTTTATACAGTTAAATAATTCGGACTCACAAAAAATTGCATTATTCTTACGTTATTAAATACTTATGTTTGTATACTTATATGTATTTTATATACTTAAGCATATTACTAATTAAACCTAGGTTATTAACATTGTTCAATATTGATAATCTTATATTTTTATCTAAAGCGTATATGAATTTCTAAACAATTTTTTTTATAAATTATTCTCCATTAGAGAATTCTAAAATACAAGTAACCAAACATATTAAAAATTTTAACATTTATATTATTATTAGAAATACACATTTTGTGATTTATATGTTGTATTTTATTTTATTTTCTAACCAGATTTGATAAAAACTAAAACCAGAATAATTAAACTACGTTCCAAATATTTAAAAACATTCAAGTGATGTACATTTTATTTTACGGACGATGATACAATATATTTATCGCTATTGTCCACATTTTTAGTTGAGTGATCAGTTTTTATCTTTTTAATATCTACATTTATATTGCATTATTATTATTTTTCAAAAATCACCAAGTAGGCCCTTTTTACCGAGTTAGAACGTTTTCAGGTGAATGATCGAGTATATCCACGTGTATAACCGACAATCAACATCGGGTGTCGTCCTTGACCGGATACAAGGCTGCACTCTTCTTGGTTGGTCATCCATCGCGTATTATCCTTTTCCCCAGCACACACCTTTATCATCACCTCCTTACATTTTATCTGCTGGAATGCGGTTTCTTTTCACATCCGACTGAATTATGCAATCATGGTATATGTGCGCGTGATGAGTGTGTATTTTCCCATTAGGCGCACCTCCCTCTCAGGCCTTGTCGGACGTTTTAGATTTTTTTCTTTTCGAAAAACCATCCGACCTTGGTATAGCTTGCCATGATGATACTACGACGCTTCACTCATAAATTATTCGGATTAATGTGTGTACAATATAAATAATTTTAAATTGTATTTATATACATACATATATATATATATATATGTGTGTGTATGTGTGTGTGTGTGTGTGTGTGTGTGTGTGTGTGTGTATTTTATTGCACATATATATTTTTTTTGAGCTGTTTGATTGCGTCAGACAATTGTGTCTCTCCGTTTTTGATTTGTTCGCCGTCTTGGCTTTATCACGTGTTTGCGAAATTGTGTACGACGATACTCAATGTCCGATGGGCGAAAGTAAACGAACATAATATGTATCGGCTTTGAATACCCAAGGTTTTTCGGCTTCACGTACTAAACTATGTCAGACATTTCAAAGCTTTGATGGATAAATCAATTATTTATGAGTAAATGTATTGAAAACTCGTTGGAAATTCACGTCCTACGCCGTAATTAGGTCATTCCGGATGTTCACCGTGAACAAAATTACGCTATAGACTTTGATAAAATATTTAAGGTTCATACTCATGACATAAATTAATTATAAGTATGCTTTACGCATCTAAAAATTATTAACAACTTTTACATTAATTATACAATTATGTACTTGTATGTCTACGTTGCAATACAATTCTAAATCATAAATATATTTTATCATCCACAGGTTTTTAATAACTTTTGATAATTCCTCTGATAAATTATAAGATTTTTATCTCGTATAAATGCAGTAAAATATTATTTTGCTTTTATAAGCACATATTTCTATAAAAATTTGTTGGCGATTTCCATTTCATAGTCTTTGAGTTATCCATTGAATTAGTGTTTAAAATGACATTTTTTCTATGTATTATAAAACTTATTTTACCTTATAAATTTTATACTACTCCATCGTTTACAAAGTATTAAAATAAATTGTACACTATCAATTTTAAACAAATACTAATGTAATATCTATCTTTATCAATAGTGTAATCTTTGTCGTTATTAACATAAGAACTTCGTTTTGACTAAACGCGTAAATTCTAGATGAATTCCGTTTATATAAAATTAAATACGTCTCATACTTATTATGTAAAATGTAGAAATATTATTAAGATTTTCGTGTACATATGTTTTGTATTTTAATATTAAAATATTTATGAGAAAATTTACTTTAAGCTATATAATATTAATCAAATGAATAATAACACTGCATTTTTGATATGAAACTACACATGATAAAATTTATATTATGTTTATTTATTTGAAACATTCAATTTTTGAAGAAAACCTAATATTTGTAAATATCATAACAATTGTATTTGAATACGATCATACAAAAAAACATAAAAAATGCTTGTGAAATTAAATACGCTAACTAATATTCATGACCTTGAATGGTATTTTATTTTTATAGAGAAATAAACTGGTTGTTCATATTACAACATTTAATAATGTTATTAAACAAGTTGAATGACTCTACGAATGTTAATACTTTTTTCCAAACACAATTTCTAGTTTTTGAGGAATTTTAAACTAGGTTGTTCTTAGTTAAAACGCATAGATTTTTATTTATTTTGTATTGGTTTCATTTAATAGGTTTCTTGATCATTATTTATTATTTATTTTTACTATTGTACCCTCAAAATCCTATGCTATAAAAAAATAACAATAATTTACGCTTCTATAATTTTACTAATGTAATATATGTAAACAAGATTTTTTTTTCGTTTGACTTAATATAATAATATTATATTAAGTCGGACGAAAAAAAAATCTTAATATATTATATTATGTATATTTTTAACTAAAGATCATTAGTACGGTCACCTCGAAAACATAATCGGGCGCTTAAGTTAGGCAACTCCTATTGCATCCAAGACGCTAATCGACTAATATAAAATAATACGTATTTGTTTTAAAAAATACATAATTAACGTTGTATTCTTCTTTATATCCAAGTAATGGTTATAGTAGTGAAAGTATCTTCTTTTGTAATGCATTGTATACGCTTCATAGGTAGAACCTATAATCAGACGTTAATAATCGATCAGCTGCCTTCATATGTTTATGCATTATACTATTCATACAATACCACTCGATCTCATTGGAATACTTTAGTATAAATTACCGTTGTTGAGCTAAATTTTTAAATCGAAATTGATTATAATTTTACTGATAATAGCACAATAAAGAAATTGAATTAACTCATTTTACAAATGTTCATTAAATAATAATTTCATAAAATAGAGATTTATTGTTATTTTTATTGATCTTAACCAACTATAAAATAAAATCTAACATTCAATGTTAACATAACATTAATTGTACTTCTTCAAATTCAAATATCAAATTTATTTTCAATTTGATATATTAGTCTACACATTTTTAATTAAATACCTCAATTAATATTATAAGAAATATAATAATAAATTATTTATTAGGTAGCCATGGCTGGTGATTATATATTGGCAGTAACGTCTATGATGATCGCTAGACTTAACCACAATGACGTCACGATCACACTTAGTCAAGTAAGTGTAATTTTATAAAGTTGATAACAAACAAAAGTTAAAAAATACCTTATATAGTATCGAAAAAACAACAAAAATTGAAAACCTTACAGATCATCACTGACTTGGTTCAAGGAGAATTCATGCAGCTCGGCTCCAAAGAGACTGAGAACGAAAGATTTGCTCACTACTTAACGAAAACATACAGAAAAACAGCTAGTCTTATAGCTAATTCAGTAAAAGCTGTGAGTAACAAAATATTTTAAAGTAAATATATTAACACTATTTGCACGTGGAATTGTGTGTGTGTGGCATTTATATTTTATTATAGTAAATTTTCTCTGCTTAATAAATATTAAATACAATATATTGCCGAAATTCGGTAAAAAATTTGTATGTATAGGTACTATAATATAATCGGCACTCCTTATATTATTCGTTAACCAACCATTCACGTGATTAAATATCAATTCAATATATAATATAATATTCCAGTTGCACTTGGCCTTATTTTTCAAACTGTGCATGGTACGAGAATGACGATCGTCCGAATTTACATTGAATAAATCTGAATAGAAACGTTTCGGTTTTTTTGCAGACGATTAATTTTTAACTATAACGTAAAATATTATTAAAAAATGGTTTTATTGCGTATTTCATTCGTTAATTTTTACATTTAATGAACATTTCGGATTATATTTTTATTTTTCCACTCATATTAACACCGGGTTGAACCTCAAAAACACGTGAAAATATATATAGGACGTGTATTTAAGTAGACTGAAATCATTTTTTTGTCAAGTCACTCATCCTGCGTAGTAATAAGATTATGAGGTGTCTGACGCAAAGTAGAAAAAACAAAAAGGGGATTAGTTGTATTAATTTTTTAAATGATATAGTGAAAGAAAAGTATAATTGAAACTTCTGTGATACTATCACACTGCACAGAATATCTCATTTTTTTCCTATTGATATAATATAACCTGGTGTTTTGCGTTAAAAGTACACTATTCGTAGATATTTTTATGTAGATAAGTACTTATAGTTTGTGTGCAAGGTCGAATTTTGAGTCCTCTGAATCGTAGAGCCGATAAAATCGTGAGTCTATAAAATAACTTTAAAATTTTTTATGTTTTTTTAGGGAAATCAAAAACATTTATGCCGCCGTTGCACACAGATACGATACGTTATTGTTTAAATTCTTTTGTTTTCGTTATTTTTTCTTCTATTATTATTATTATTATTGTTTCGTTATATTCGTGCTTTGTTTTGTGCAGGAGGCAATGCTAGCCGGTGCCGATGACAAACTAGTCGATGTAACGTTCGAATACGGTCGTAACATAGGCCTGGCGTTCCAGTTGGTCGACGATCTGTTAGATTTCGTGTCCAGCAAAGATGCCATGGGCAAACCGACCGCAGCCGATTTGAAACTAGGCTTAGCTACCGCTCCTGTTCTGTTCGCCTGCGAAAAGGTAAGTCTAACGATATTTTCTATGCATACTAAAAAGTTCCAGCCATTCCGTATGGTGTTTTGGGACGTACCGAATTAAAAACAATCCGATTTTGAGCTTTTATTTCATCAAATTTTCCAGTAAGACAATTAATCTCGTAATTATGTTATAAGCATAACTATTTAGTAAGTCAAACGCATAAAACGTGTTTTATTATTATAATGTCTATTCCCAAGAAATTTCTTCGACGCGCGAAAAAATATATTTGACTATATTAAAACGTTAATTATACAGCATTTAAAAGTGTCATTAATCGGTCGAATCTCACTACGACCTATTGTTTATTATCATGTAACAAAACTTCTACCTTTGGAAATGGTATAAATAAGTATTTAATTGCAGTCTAGCGTTGTACTTGTACATTCAGCTCAGCAACATCTGTCATGTCTTTCTGCATTTTACCATGAATATGTTTTTACTATAATAATCCGTACGTATTTTGGTGATACTATTCCAATTTACCAAATCGATTATAATATTAATATTCGTCTCGAAAAATAAAACAAGTTCGATTTAATTAATTTCTAACGATTGCACTATTTTAACGCTGTACCACTGTTGTGTTATAACAATGTAAATAAATGCAATACATAAATGTCAATCTAAAACGCATCAAAATGGGCTTTGAAGTTCCGTCGTCCACTTCCTGCGATCTTTGTGTACAGTGAATCCTAATAGAATTCTAATATATTTCAAGTTTTTTTCTTCTTATTCACCGATGTCGAATATTGTATTTTAATATATACGAGTATATACATCATCGAGTGGACGAACTTAACGCAGCGGCGGCAGTAGTGGTCAATGCCATATTCTCGTCATCGTGTGAGAATATTTAACGGCTCACTTGTTTTCTCCTCGCGTACAGTTCCACGGCACAACTCTATGTTCAATTCGAATGCATGTTGCCTAAAAATTATAATATCGAATTTCAGCATTTTGATTCGCCTCTGGTCGTCATCGTTAAATTTCTTTTACCGAATACCTGCTTTCTTGTATAACCAATCGGATCTGGTTGTCTGCGTGCGTTTTTGGTTGGAATTCTAATACCCACGAAAATAAACCTGTTCGTCGGGTTATAAAATATTTTTCTCTTTTATTACATCAATGTTCATCGCGCGCTCCACGTTATAATAATAGTAATAACTAATAGTATACATAATACGTCGCGCCGAGGCAGAGAGCTGCTATATGATTTTTGATCAATTGTGTTCGAATTCCACACTTTTCGCTTGAAATGTTCACATTTACATTTCGATGGATGTATTTCTTTAAATACATCATATTAAATGGTGTGCTTATGTATTATAATAATACAAATATAGGAGGTATAGTTTATTACGCTTGCTCAACGACACGTTGCGTTGTTGAAATTCAAGTTATTACTATGTATATATAGGTATGCGTTTAAATACCGTCGTAGAATGTATATACGCATTATATTTTATGTACAATATACAAGTATAGGCGATAATTTCAGCCAGGGTCGGCTGCGAATTTCGTACGCGTGCAGAGAAATTTAATTAATTTTTTTTCGTAATGTTCAATTAAAATTCGTTTTCTATCTATTCCCATTTCATGCTCGTTTAAATAATTACAATCTAATAATCACGTGTTATATGCATCCGATGTACCAAACACACGTACCTTTTATACATACATGCGGCGGTGCCTAATGCGGTTACCGACTCCAGTGCTTGTATTTCATGAACTATGAAGCTTGAACGAATACTGTTTTCTAAAAATGTCGTTACATAATAAACTCCGTGGTGCTAGACGGTTGCCGTCTTTTGTGGTCGTACACACGTACCTATATGGAAATAAATATTTCTGGGAACGATTAAAAAATTGAAAGAAAATAAAACAGTTTAACCGACAAGCGGTTCGTATTGTGCAGATGTGACGACATGAACATGTGCCAACTTCACCTATAACCATCGTCTGATAGAACGTATCGACGGTTATACCGATTTGTTAATATACGGCCGTGCACAAGAATCATCGATTATGACTCGTCCATACACTTGTACACATATTATCTTTCCCTATGGAAACGTAATTAAAATATTATTCTGTATGGTTCTGCCGTTAGATAACAAAATCATTGTCTTTCCCGGGGCTCTCGTTGAACGCACTTCCTGTTGTCAGCTACTAATGCGATAAGATCTCAAGGGAAGGGAATTCACTTTATTATCTAACAATATCTATAAACACAGTTCGTAACGGTTCTGTCATCGGACCAGTATCGCTCTACACGCAATTTTGGTTTGCGTAAAAAAAAATGTGTCTATTATCAGACGATTTGTTCTATTTGCACGTCTTACCATGCTATGTCTTATATTAATTAAAAAAATATTACTTCGTTTTGAGGGGACCAAACATCCAAGTTTCGCTCACGGTCTATCGGTGTCCAATAAATGTCATCTTGGTCCATAAAATCTTATCCATTCATGAAACTTATACAATTTCAGTAAAAAAAAAAAGATAAACTAGAATAGGGTAGTTCTCAGAATTTGACATTTTGGTTGTTTTTTTTTATAATAGATCAACCTGCAGTTTTGAGTGAGCTGTAGCTCAGAACCCCTTTACAAATTCTCCTTCTCCTCAAGTCTTATAATTATTTAACGGTAAACCCACAAAAATGTGTTTAATCTAAGCTTACACGTATCATATAGCAAGAAGAAAACATTAATGGTATTTGATATTTAAATAAAAAAAAATGTATTTATCTGTAAATGAATTTGGAGCCTAAATTCTTGTATAGATGGGTGGGTAAATGTAAGTATTACTTATATAGTAACAGTACTATCCGAACGTAAGAAGTAGAGACTCATAGTATAATAAATTTTCCTACAAATTCAAAGGGTTTTAGAAAAAGGCATTGTAGAACTTATTAGGTATAACGATGGAGGTTTCTTTGTATATTGATGTATTATCTAGTTATCAGGATGCAGGAATGCCCGGAGAGAGAACCATTGGGGATCATTGCATCTCCTGAGATTTTTCATGTCAGTTACAAAATAAGAAGTCTTTTTACATAAAACCGGTTCTGACTTATGAGTATGAGATATGTCTCATACTCAGCGATTTTTACCCCCCCCCCCCCAAGTTACACTGCTGCGGGCGTTCCTGTCTGTTTTTGAGCATAGGCGGATATTTAGTCACATCTGTGAGGGGGACTGAACATTTTTGTTTTATCCATCAGTGTAAACAGACATTTTTAGACACTTCAACCTACTAACTAGTGGCTACTCCTAATTTATTCTAGTTGAGGAACCAAATATACATACGAGTATATACTTATAATTAATAGGAACATAAAAATATAAAATATTTAATAGCTACTCATTTTATTTTATTTTAATTGTATCAATATATTCCTTTATTTCATTTATTGCCAACAAAATAAAATAAAAATTATAAATATCAAATATTAAAATACACAATTTATTTTGACGTCTGATATGGTTTTATTATGTCCAGAGGGGACTTAAGCCCTCCCCCCCAATATCCGCTTATGTTTTTGAGTTATACTTAACTGGTGGACAAGATAGTTACGGGTGGGTCGAATAACTGTTTGGATGTTGTCTCGCACGTGATTTTATTGCAAAAGTTCGTGCCGCCTCTGGCCTCAGTCAAACGTTTGCTTCTTTTTCAGTACCCGGAGTTGAATGCCATGATAATGCGACGGTTCCAGGAACCAGGTGATGCGGAACGCGCCTTTGAGTTGGTGCACAAATCGCAGGGCCTCGAGCAGACGCGGTTCCTTGCCAAAAAACACTGTCTCGAAGCAACGCGATTGGCCGGCAAGATCGCCGAGTCGCCGTATCAAAAGTCTCTGCTGGTCGTACCCGACCTAATAGTGAATCGCATGAAATAATAACGACATCCGTGCGATGGCGGCGGTGATTCCACTGTGTGCTCTTCCGCGGGTGTACTATAGTGTATGCGAATATTTAGTTTATTACTATTAAAAAATCGTAACGGCGAACCGGTTATTATACAACTAGTCCCGATTCTTTGACAAAAATATAAAAATAAAAAAACCATAAAAAAAATATTATTCTATTCGCTTACGATTTTTATCCGATATCGTGTTTGAAGTAATAATTGCCCCGCTCTAAGTAAGGCACTTTTGATATTTTATTTTCATTTTTTTTTCTGTTATTTTTATTATTATTATTATTTTATTTTTAATGTATTATTATATATTACTAGTATTAATTATACATAATATGTTTTTATTTGTTTCTTCCCCCCCCCCCATAACGTCCGTACTTAAAAACACAAAATCCCTTCATGTATATTATTCATCTACTATTATCAACTACAAAGTCGTTTTTGTCCACGCCAAAAAACTGTTTACTCTAACATTATATTCATTAGTTTTTATTTATTAATTTGTCTTTCTTTTTATCTTTATATTATTATTATTTTTTTTTTTTTTTGTTATCTGAAGATGAAATGTTTATATTATTTATACATATAAATAAAAACTAATAGTCGTTTTCTGTACACTGTAATCTCATTTTAACAACACACAAATCTAATTTTGCTATAGTTATTTTACAAAATTTCACTTTTCACAATCATAGATGATTAGAATGTTAAATTGAGTATTATTGTGTACGCGCATTATTTTATTCTGTTTATAGAACAAAGTATATAATATTAAATCATTTAACTTTAATAAAATTCAATTTAACTGACTAACAATATTGTATCTTTTTCTCCGTTTTTTTTTTTTTTTCTTAATTCAACGATAAAACCAATTGTAAATACCAAAGAAAATGCATTAATTTGTTATCTATAAAATAATAATATTTTATTAGTCTATATGGTATATATTAATTTATTATTATTATTTTCTTTTTTTACCATTTAAAATTACCATTGTGTATAAAAAAAATTGTTTAATTTTTTGTAAATGTGTTGTAAATCTGCATATATATTTGGGTATTGGGGTCTTATAGCATATTAAAAATAATATTTTAAAGCAATGTATTTATTTTATTTTCAACACATATTTAAGGTTTTCGATAAACTATATCCAGATTCATCAATGCTAATTTATAAACATTATTGTATTGCTATTTATCATTTCATCTTTAGCTGCCGTATCATCATAATTTATCATCTTAGGCATTGAAAGAAAAATGTATTCTTTTAAATTTAACCATTTCCATGTATTAACAAAATCTCATCATTTCATGCTACTCTGCTGTTTCACTTAAATATCAAAGCTGACATATTAATAAATTAAGTAATTTACTTTACATGGGTTGTAATAAATATAAATTTATACATTCATAGATTGAAAAGACAATGAAAATTTAAGCCTTTATTTTCAAATATTTATTATTATTAAATAAAAACTTGAAAAAAAATGCATAAACACATACTTAACAAAACTCTGTTGTATAATAACAACCAAGTATACAATGGATAAATTAAAACTAATAACTATAAACTTAGAGCTTATTATTATATAAGAATGTAAAATATTAAATCACAGAAAATTCAAATCACAAAAAAATTAAGCATATGCATAACATTTTATTTATCGTTTCATTTGTTTTAATGGATTTTTGGTAGGTGCTCCTTGTATTTGCGAATCAGTTGAACTTTCTATTTTTCGAAATACTTTCATAGTGATAGCAGAAGCAGGAGGAGGTAAAATTGGTCCACTATCTGGTGTTTCAGGTGTAAGAGGTGCTTGAATCACAGTTGTACTTCGTACAATATCTTTGCCCATTTCAATGATGCCAGGCCGCAAATTAAGCATACCACATAACTATTATAGATATGAACATTTATTATATTTTCTATTCATAATAATTAGACAGATTGAATATTTACATGTGTACATTTATTTTACCTCTAAAATCCCACTTAAAGCTTGTCTTGCTTCTTTATTATGATTAGGGACAATTGGATTTAAAATGGAATGATACTGCAATAACTTAACTCTACACAACTCAAGCAAATCCTAAAAAAATTAAAATTCAATACAGTTACCAATATTTAATTTTGATTTTATTTTAAAATTGTAATTACATCTGATGAACTATGAATATGTCTTGTTGAATAAGTGTTGACAAATTTATTTGGTCTAAAATAAAAATAATTATCAATTACAAATCATTATACAATATAGTCATTACAGAATTTACACTACGCAAACAAAATGGCAATATTCGGTTTTGCAACAAGAGATACTATGGAAACAATCCCATAACATACTCTTAACTAATGACACAATATTTTTTTTTCCAGAGACATTGTGTTCTTGTTTTAGCAACTTTTATTTACAAGATATAATATACTTTATAAAACAGCAATACTAACCGTTCTGACTGGTCATCTGTAATATTAGTTTTAATGTTTTCACTTTTATCAATTTTCAGAGAATTAATCACAGATGGTAACAAATGTTTCTAGAACAAAATATAATTTCACTTAAATGAAACAAATAATAATAAATTTATTTTTACCTTAGGATCAGACATATGCAATGCATATTCAATAACGGTCATCACATCAACGTGTGGATATCTCATTAAATAATGTAAACAATTAGTATTATCATTCTTAAGTACTGAAAATGTAAAATTAATAATTAAATATGCTTTTCACAGAAAAAAAAATTATTTAATTAAAAATACTTACATTGAGCTCGTAAAAGAACCAACATGGCAACAAAAATATCATTAACTATTGCAAAATTTTCAGGTGATTTGGCAAAAATAGTATCCCATAATACTAATAAATCCATCAATGAAAATTCTCCTCCAAACAGTAATCTCAACCAACGACTGAAATTTTTATTGATCAGTACTTTATTAAAAAAATAAACAGAAAAAGTTAAAAATTAACTAACACTCCAAAAGTTGTAAATGAAATATCTAAAGCTAATAAATGCTCGTGTAATTCTGGATCATGTCTAGTTAACATTGTATTACGTATTTTGGAAAGTTTTCTAACAACTTCACTTTCAGATGTCAAACTCTAAAATCATTAATGAATCAATATAAAACAAAATAAATAGTAACTAACATTATATTATTTATCAACTTACAGTAGTCTTTACTGTCTCAGATTCTTTTGGTGTCGATGTTACAAAATCATTAATATTATAATAATCTTTCATTATTTCCATAATAGTATTAAACAGTGAACTAGAATTAGAAAGCATTAAAATTAATTAACTTTGATTATGCTGTTTTATTAAAATCTTACTAAGCATCTGCTTCCAGATATGCAGGTTCAAGAATTTTTTTTATTAAATCGCTGAAAGAAAAATGTTAACAGAATATTAGTGAAATAAAACATATTAATAGAAAAATTATTTAAATAAATAAAAATTAAATTAATGTTACCTAACATCAGAAGATGACTGCTCTAAAACATGAAGTAATGCCTGATGGTCACAATGTAGAACAAATAATAATGGAGCAAGAATTTCATGCATACCCTATATTAAACATAAATTAAAAATAGGAATTCAATAACATTTTTAAAATAAAAAATCTATGATCAGAATCACATTATATGAGATACTTTAAATCAAAAAATTGATTTAACTACATAAATAATTCATTTTTCAGTAATAATCTTGTATTACAATTAAAATAAATAAATTATAGTTACAAACAATATAGTTGATAAAGGAAATAAAATAGAGTAGTAGGAATGTCAATTGTTAATGCACACAAATCAACCAAAGTGGTGTTCAATTTAAATAATTCTAAACTTTTAGAAAAAAAAAAAATCTAGCTTATTATAATTTATTACATAAATATATAAATGTATAAATAATATAAAATATAAACATTCAAGCATTAAAATAATATTTCTCTTTATTTATTCACAATTTTAATCCTATTTTACAAATCTATCTCGTACTCACCATTCCTTTGTACTACAATTCTAGGTACTTAAACCAATGAACCTCACCTAACTTCATTAATATATCATACCTTATCACAACTCACAATACTTCTTAACTTCTTCCAAAATCTCATTATTTATATTATAAAATACATCCTAAGTCCTTTCCCTTCCGCTATTGTTTTTACTTCATCATACATAATTTTTCACTCTTTTATTTATTTAATAAGCATCCCACTTATTATTTTTACCTAAACAAGTAGCTAGGATATAAATAAAAGTAAAAGAGAACAAAAATGTACCTTAAAAGGACATACCTGTCTATAACTTAAATCTGGATGTTCCCTTGAATAACAAAACAATAAATCAACCATTATTTTTTGAATTTTTTCTGTTCTAAAAAACTCAACTCCAGGAGATGTTCGAATCACGTCTTGTTGGATAATTTTCTTCAATTCCATATCTTTGAAATACTGTTTCCAAATACTCTGAAATAATTTAATTATTTAATATATAATTTACAAAGATAATTGATAAAATCAAGTTTGAAATATAACTATGAATAAGAAAAAATACTAACATCATCATCTAGTGATAAAGGATTGTCTGGTCCTGAATCCTGTGTATGAGGATCATTGTAATGTATCAATTTGGTTTGTTCATATGTAGATCGAAATTTTTCAATTGTTATTAACCATTCAGATGAATCTGATGGTAATAGTCCCAGCAGAAGTCGCCAGCATATACTCCGAAATCTAGATGTTCGCAATTCACCTTTAATTGCAATATCACGCAACTCATCAATATCATCAATATTAAATAAATATTTCCACTCCGACCTATATAATAAAAAACACAATAGATATAAAATAAAATAAAATAAAAATTTAAGATTTCAGAGAATATTGTACCAATTTACTGTTTCTATTCGCCAAACAAAATCAACACATATTTCACTTAACCTATGAGTTTTGAATTACAATTAAATTATAAAAATATTATAACTGATAAATAATTGTTTGTCTATTTGTGAAATACACAGTACAAAAATAGTTTAAAATTATTATATTGAAACTAGATGTCTATTAAGAAATTATATCTAAAAAACTATCACTTGTTCAGTTGTAGGAGTTATTTTTTTAATTTTTCACCTAGATAACATAAAATATATGTTCTATAAAACTTGATTTTGAATGACCGAGAGAAATAAATTGATTATATAATTGTAAATCCAAAATCACTCACTCATACAATTTGACAGAAACATTTTGACCATTACCGCTGGAACTATTATCCTCGAAATCGGTATAAAACATCTATAAGGACGAAAAAAACATTTAAAAAAAATTATAACAGAAATATGATCATTAATAACAATTATTTTTGGTAATATCCAACCACTAAGCTACTACAATAATCACCTGAACAAAGGATCTCTATGACCTTTGGTCACGAAATTGGAGTTTAAATTACGAGTAAACCGCTGAGCGGAACTACTGATGTTAAGTAAAAATTGATGTTTAAAACACACGTAAATCCTCCATGGTTTTATTCGATTATTTGGCTTACCACTTATTTTTAAATACAAATTTAAATCTTCAAACGTCACGGGGTAGCGACCGTACGAAATAAAAACTATTACTCGACACCCATATTTACAAATAATCAAAGATACTTTGGTCAATGTCTTGTTATCGACTAGATTTAATGTTTTCGTTTAATCCGTGATAAGGTTATCGGTTACCTACCACACGGCCGTGAACATAGAAAAAAAATATCAACAAAAGACATTATGGTCATTATAAAAATAACTGTAATACCCATAGACATAAAATAATACATGAAATATAATAATATAAAAAATGTTGTATTTAATAAAAATAATATAATATATTATGTCTATAGTGTTACCATATTTTCTCCCAAAGGTTACCAACCATTAGGTAATCGCCATTAATTTAAGTTTGAACTTTACGTTTTTTTTTTACAAAACATCGTTTAATTTATGATTACATCACTCGGCAACGGTTAACTATTCGTATCAGTTAATCATAACTACAGAGTGATATTAATGTCGAATTTTAGGTAAAGTTACAGTTTTTTACGTTCAACATGTTCACAGGCTCCATTGCAATATTTAATACAGCCAGCTCCTGCATAACGTTCACTATTCCATATATTTTGTAATTCCAGTTCACTGATTCAAAAGGGTTATAAGCACCCTAGTAAGTAAACATCTAAAACTAATTTATGGTGACTACAAATTACAATAATCTAAGCTTTGAGGCAAATACACTTATATTACAGTACATTCATTAGTCAACAATGCATATACAAAATCATCAGCTACCTTATAATGAATTACATTATTCCAAAGAAACATTTTTATTATTTTTCTATTTTTTTATTTAAATAATACATCTTTAATTAAATGTTTTATTTTATCATTATTTCTAAAAGGGTTAAGGATTCTATCATGATAAAATAAAAATTATACATAGGTGACATAAGTACCTACAACTAGATTTAATATTGCAACAACATTTATACTGTATATTTCTTAGTTGTACTGTATTTTCTTCTGTGTCCACACTTCTGTAATTTCTGGTCATTTTTTGTCTGATTTAATTTATACATTTTATAAATTGCAAGATGTACTCATATTTTATACATAAAATAGAATAACTAAACTTTTGAAAGTAACATAAAATATTTTAATTATTAATTCTCGATTTAATAAATTGTATTGAGGTTCTGATTATTAAGATCCACTTATTATTATCCACTTATTATCCACTGTATTTCAAGGCTTAAATATCAACTTCTTGAAGGTTTGTCTAACATATACGAATAAATAACATATTCCAATAACCAAACAAAATTTAGCATACCATTCAAACTATATAAAAAAATATATATATATATATATATATTTACTGTTTTTAGTACGAAATGTTATAATTATATAATCCATTAATATTTACCAAAATTTTAGATGACGATAAACTACTCATGAAAAAAGTAGCAAATGATTGTAAAACTGCAGCTAATAAATTGTTGATACCAAATACAAATCCATGTTTATCTTTACTAACACATCTGGCTATTTCTGAACTATAGGTTTTACAATATAATAAAAACACTTAATTTAAAATACTATTAGCAATAGGTATATCGTCTAACCTGGCAATGGTCATCACTGCTTGATAAATTGTATTATAAATTATATAATTTATATAGGATATATAAATTGAATTGTATATAATTGATGAATAAAGAGTTGCACATTGAAGAAAAGATGCAACCATGATAAGTAAATTACAATATTTATCCATATTTAGTTTGATTGAACCACATTCATATGTAACATATGCACCTAATATCAAACTCAAAATTATTTTGAGTATTTTTATTGTTTTAAATCATTATATTTTACATACATAACAATTGAATAGATAACTGCAGAAATGTCATAAGTTATATATTTTATGAAATTGAGATATTAGTAAAAATATATACTAGTCATGTGTTTCTATGTGTTGAGTATATAAACATCTTTAGTTATACATTTTTTATCAAATAAATAAGTAATAATAATCTAGTGTTTTTACTCTAAATACATAAAAACACATGTCTAGTATACGTTTTTATTAATATCTAAATTTCATAAAATATATTACTTGTGAAGTTTCTTCAGTCATTGATTCAATTGGGATACTTTTTAATAAGGTATATATTAATATATTAATACTAATTATTATTTTACTAATATTTTAGTATATTTTAATTTTCCAGGATTAAGCTTCTTCTCTTAATGTGTATAATAATTAATAATTAATAATTTTTAAGTTTTACCATTGGTTTCATAAAATTGGTGTTCTTACTTATAATAGTATATAAAGCATCAACAGCTCCATTCCATTCTGAAGTTTTTTTACAGTCAGCATGAAGACATTTATCATGACTCAATGACTCCCACAATGATTGAATATAAAATGATACCTATAAACCAAAAATTTAATTTATGAATAAAAATAAAAATATGTACTTCATCAATTGTATTTCTACTTGGTTAAAACAACAAGTTGCTGTTATCACCCAAAATGACCATTTCAAAATATATGAATTATTATACTCATTGCACATAGACTTGACATATTTCCATGACATCTTGTTATCCTAAAATTTTCTTTTTAAAAATCATTTTATCCTTAATTTAAAAAAATGTATTTCTGTTTTTTCAAACATGATAAATTAAAATAATGAACTATAAATAATTTTTTTTCTTTTTTTTCTTAATTTACAGTTATTTACTTCTATAGGATTTTCAACTTGTCCTTCGTTATCTTCTACTAATTTAGTTTCTGTTTCCATTTCATTAATTGTTTGAGTTTTTGTTTTAATTGGATTCATTTGTTGTATTTCCATTTCTACCACTTTTTGTTGATAAGCTTCTGACTCAATCTCTTTTACTGGTGGTAATACTAAAGACCAAATTGTTGCGGTTCCTAGACCTGAATTTATATAAATAGATGTTACATAGTAAATTATAATTTTGTAATTTTTAAATAAGTTTTAATATAAATAAACTAACTTCCTAATGTTATAAAATTTAATTGGTATGAATCAACTATGTCTGTTGAAATCAACACCTGAGAAATTATTCCTGAAAAAAAACGCCCTATAAGATGGGCAGTTCTAGTATGACTTGTAACCTGCTGATAATATTTTACATCCACAACAGAATAAATATATGTGTAGTATGCAACCTCAGTAGCTACAAAAATACCATATAAAATTTCAACAATCTAAAAATAAATAATATATTATTTATGAAAAACTATAATTATGTATCAGTTAATACATGAAATTAATAATAATCATACTTACAACAACAGATGTAAAACTTGTTAATAAAGATAGTAAAGCATAAATACATACACCGCATAATGCTTGAATTACAATAACAATTTTATACCGAAGCCAATCGGTTGTTAATGAAACAAATATCATAGATATCATTGAAGCATAAACACCAATAGGAAGTATTTTATTGTTAATCTAAAATTCAATAAAAATATGATTCAATAAAAAAGATAATTTAACAATTGATAGACGCTTCAAAAATAATTTATTTCCTCATGAACTTTAGTTCCTTAATGTGTAGTTTTATAAAATTTTTATCTTTAAATATTTATAACAATTTTTAAAGCTATTTATTAAAATAATTGAGATTCATTTTTTGTTTGAGCTACCAAGAGTTTTAAAACTAGATTTATCATGATTCATGACAAAATATATCTATAGATACCTAAATAAAAATGTTAGAAGTTATTTTAAAAAGATTAAACCTTACTTTAACTTTTGATAAATGCTTTATCATGAACACTTTATAGTTAACACGATAATATAAGATATCTAATAAAATAATACAAACAATTACAGAACTGCAATAAAGTTCTTTCTCAATGAACAATTAATGCTTGGATGAACTTGATTGATAATTAAAAATATTAAATATATTCAATCCACTAAAATTGATTCATGAAATTTAACTTACTTGTTCTTCAGTGAAATTCATTCGTGGACCTTGTAAATAAGGAATCACGTATGATTCGGATGGACGGAACTCTTTTAAAATTCCATAAATACACAAACATAATGAAATTGTTTTCCATGACATGCTCAAACCAAATATTGAACTATAAAATGGTTTAAAAAAAAATGATTGGTTTAATAATGGTTTTTATATTTTAATTACATTAAATAACAATATCAAGTTTTACAAAACAAAAAAAAAAAAGGAGTTACCACATTTTCTTAATATTATCAACACATCAATGTATACCCATAAATATCTATACTATACTATACTATAATATCTATGTAGTATAGATATCTGAGTGCATCACAAAAGGGTCACGCAGTTCTGAGTATTTGATAACCTTTTTAATGGCAGTCACTATGTTGACCAAATATAACAACAAATGTTTAAGGAAAGAAAAAAACTTTTAAAATATCTTGAATTCTGAAAAAATGTCACAATTGTTATCTATAAATAACTCGTAATAGGTATCATGTTAAAAAATAATGCAGAATGGGTGTACGCACAGATAAGTATGTTTTAATACTATAATTCAATAGATTAGTTGTACGACAGTGGGTTGGTATTTAATGATTTTTAAATTATATGAATATTAAAAAAAAAATCTTTAACCTGAGATATGACAATACAATGACTGTATTGAAGAAGCATGGTCGGTGTTATCAACAATAACGATTTTCGAACTTGAAACTTAATCTGGTGTGATATGTCCGCCTGTGTGCATGACATTGATATGAATGGAACCAAGGTGAATTTAATTAAACTTTATTCCCTTACTTGGAAACTCGATTGATAATAAATCTCCTATAGACCAAGTACACGCAGGGCCAGATTTTAAGGCGGAGGGGAGTATTAAGGACAATTGTCCAAAATTTGGAAACCCCCAAAAATTGTATTAGATTTTGATATCGTAGACATACCTTAAGAACCAGCTGTACTCAATACATTATTAAGGGGTGCCACTGTTGGTTTTTTAAAAATATCCATTTTTAAATTTATAGACAGTTTACTGTTATTCCCTGACAAGTTCTTTACGATTGTTATTTTCAGTTGATTTTTCAGCTGATTTTTTTTTTTTGGCCTTCTAAAATTTGTTGTTGCAAAAACTCCATTTCACGTTCCTTGTTATCTTTTTCTGCTTTTTTCTTTTTCCTCATTTTTTCTTCTAGTTCAGTTGTTGCTAAATCACGATCAATGTATGTAATGAACCAGCCTTCATCTGTTTCATCAACAACACATTTACCTAAAAATAAATAACAGAATGCAATTAATATATACAAAAATAAATTATTATTATTTAATTTATACAATTTACTATATTGATATAATATAGTAAACACTTGATTACTTTAAAATATCAAAGAAATAAAAATGTTTTTAACCATAACTTAATTTTTTCAAATTTAAGAATTATGATAATAGTTAAACTATGATAACTAATTAATAATAAAAAATAATTAACAGTTAAATAAGATATAGTGTTAAAGAGGGTAAAGCCTATGATGAATTTTTAATTTAAAACTAAACCTAAAACTTTTTGTGTTAATAAATATATATATATATATATTATAAAATGTAACTCAAGGGCGTATTTGAGTTGAAGCCGTGAGAGGGGGAGGGGGTGAAACTAATTTTTCTTCTATATAAACTTAAAAATAATTTACAGTTCATTACTTACAGCTCATGTTCCTGTTACTTTCTCATTTAAGTGAATTAATAAAAATACAAATACCAAATTGAATTAAATATTTATATAATAAATATATTTAAAACCTACTGCATGTAAAATAAGTATTAATAATAACAACACAAATAATTCCTATATTTAAATTGTACCTTCAGTCTGAATCCTGTGTAAAAAAACAACAAATAATCATAGTAGTAATAATACGTATTAATTATTTTTTAAAAACTTTAAAAAAAAATTAAGATAGGTAACTTAATTTAACAAATATCTAAGAAGAAAACATAAGGTCAGTAAGTAGTCAAATAACAAATTCCAAATTTCTTTTTTTCATTTTGGCAAATTTATTGATTATTTCATTAATGAATACAATAATATCTTTATGCACATGTAGTAAAGCTAAACCTGTTAGTCTATGCTGGCTTATTCTTGATCTTAACCATGTTTTCAATCTACAAAAATATATTTTTGACCAATATTTGCAAGTTAAAGAATATGGAAACAAATATCGTCAGTCATTATATATATGATTATTATTTGACTTAGGGGCGATATCCAGCAGGTTATACGATCGATACGGGTTTATAGTATTATTTATACTTACACAAAAATTATGACCAGATATAAGAGGTAATTTGCAGATAGCATATTACTGATAGTATTAAGTCCTCTTAGTACATTTTTTTCAATCGTTTGAAATATGTATATATAGTTATATATATCTGTAATTTTTAATTTTAAATTTGAAAAAATTGTCAAAATATGCAAAATAAGCATAACAATTTTAAAATATACACTCTCTTGCAAAATCTATCAATTATGCAAAAATATGCACATTCAAATTTTAGATCCGATATCATGGCACCGAAAAACGAATTTATTTCGCACTCTGCTACATTTAACAATAATTAAAAAAAGTATGGAAATTCTAGAAGTTCCTAAGCCTAGTTATTACTGTTTACTTTAATTTGTAGTTAGTGTATATTATTGAAGTAGATGTAACACAACTTGTATTCCGATTAGTAGATTAGTCTGACTAATCTGGATTCATTTTTACTATGTTGGTACAACAATATAAATTGTTTATTCAGCTTAATTGTATTGTTATATACTTATATTCATATTTTAATTGCATTTTAAAACAATTACATTTAATGCTGAAAATTGAGATTAAAACCCAGCTGTAGGTATGGCTGTGAAAATTTCCATTACTTTACCTGCATCTTCGTATTCAGTAGAAAGATCTTTCAGGTAATATTTTCTATATTATATTTCTCATTTTTTATTTTTATTATAAACTTTTTATCAAAAGTTTTATTTAAATGGCTTTCGATTTCTGAAAACATTTATACATTATTTATAGTATTTATAATCAATGATCAAATCTAACTAGTCAAATTAAAAACTAAACAATGCTACATTTCCTTTAAACGTCTAAGCCGGGACGTCCCGAAAACATTTTTCGGGACATTTGAACACGAAGTCCAAAACCAGTGACAGTTCCGGTTTTCCGGGACGTATAACGATTAGGGATGTAAAAAAACATCGATGTTTTAAGCTAAAAAAATCGGTGTTTAAGTAACGATATTTTGAATCGATGTGTCATGTTTACCGATGTTTGCTTTATTTCCGATGTTCAAGAATATTACACAAAATATTTTTAAAATTTTTCATTTGCAAACAATAAAATATAGATACATAAACGGATATTTATAATTTAATATTAACTTGGTTAATAAAACAAGTCAGGATGACTGTATCTTGATCATAATAATCATAATCATCATAATATTATAGTCTTATCGCTAGAAAATACCTAATTATAGAAATCAATAATCGGCATCAAAATTTATTTTTTTAAACAACTTGGCCGATCAATTTTGGCTTCGATATGAATGACAACATTGTTTTCAATTTCAAATAATATATAAAAAAATTTGTTATAACTTACGAATTTATTGTGATTATATTTGACTGTGAACTTTATTAATTTAATTTAAATTTAATTTTTTTACACAATGTTTTTTTTTTTAATCTTTTTAAAAAATAATTAAATAAATTGAGTTGATTGTGTATGTTTAAATTTTAAATGTAAATAATTAATTTAGCTTGTGGGCTATGGCAAAGAATAATAGTTTTTTTCCTATAAAATGTATGTTTACTTTTTTTAAAAACATCGATGTTTTTCTAAATACATAGAGTTCTTGACTTCGATGGTTTTTTAATTTATCAACACTGTCACCATCGATGTTTCGTAATAAATAAATCGATACATCGATGTTCACAAAAAATTTGCCATCCTTAATGGCTAACGAGAGGATCGCAACAGCAAGTGAGCTAGTTTTTCGGAGCAGTTATCAGGGCTAAAATTATTGTTTCATTATCATCTTGAGTTTGTTATCACTAATATATAATATCAATGATAAATACTATTTCTATATTACTACATTATTATTTTATATTATAATACAATATATATAAAAATATTATATTATATAACTGGTTTTTTCTGTATAAGACACTGAACTTAATGTTCTGGTCTTATAACACAATAAAAAAATTGTGTTCAATAAGAATTATAACTAGGGCTGTGAATTTAATGCACTAAAGAACCTTATAAAATGCATTAAAAATTTCAAAAAAAATGCAATAAAATATGCACTTAAATTCAAAAAATGCAGTTAAAATGCAAAACAAATTAATCAAATTATAACATAATAAAACATACTATTTTTTTTTTTTTATTGTTTTATATTTTTTTCATTAGGTACATAATTTTTAAAATTAATTTTACTAAAATATTTTTCCGCCCCTGAAACTTGATGCCCCCCGATATGTACCTACCCGTCAGTGCCATCCTAACCACCAATAACGCCCTAGGAAATTTGAATCCCCAAAACCCCTCCCTGCGTCCGACACTGATCGTTATCAAATAAAAACTGAAGTCTTCGCAGTTGTTGGATTGCATACCTAGTTATTAACCGTTCCATTAATTTTTTCCACTTTGGGGGAAGGGGCAAATGTCCCGTCTTGCCACCCCCTCTAGGCGATCATGCTTGAGGGACTCGCGTTTTATCATTTCGTTTGTTGTGAATCTTTTTCTAACAACGTTTGACTTTGTTCAGCGAAATGGTTGTAAAACACTTGTTAATCGTAACCTCATTTAACTAATGATTCTACACTACACGTGAATATTTATCAATTTTATGTGCTACCAACAGGGGCGGCTAGTAAAGTGAGTTACTGTCATAATTCGTTGCGTATGTCGATTTTTACGAAGTCTTTTTTATATCTTATGGTTCCACCTAATGTCTAAGGAGGGGTTTTCAGCCCCCATAGCCCCCCTTGTATCCGGGTTTGCTTAACATTTTTTTAATTTAGATTTTATATGATATTTTACCCGTAAAAACTTTTAAACCATTGTTGATTGCAGATTTACAGGGGGGACACGGGTTTCAACCCCTCCCAGGAGAAAAAAGGTTCAACTCATAAATTGCTTTCTACGATGATAATAATAGAATAATATTATTATTAATTCATGCCTTGAATCTTTTACAATAATAGAATATAACTTTTTTTTTTTTAGAACAATTTTAAACCCACCTCCCCACTAAAAAATTTGAAAATACGCCACTGTGTGTGAAGGGATAAGGAAATAGCATGGGGTTTGATACATTTGATCGTGATATTAAGTTGTCAGCACTGTTTTCACGTTTGTTTGTCCCATATAGCTTCTATCTGTGTGATTTTAACAATTTTTCAACAATTTCCGATTCTCTAGCGGCTTGTTAATTTCGCTGTTTCACGAATCACGATACGTGATGTCACTTTTTAATATTTAATTAATTTTTTCTTGATTTTCTTGCCATTCGTTGGAAAGTTTTATTATTTAATTTGTGAATACACACTAAAACCTGCGTTGCACTTAAAGCACATTATAAAGTTTGACACAAATATATTGTAAATTGTTGAACATTAATTGTGATATGCGCTTATTATTAAGCGTATATGTTTGGTTAAAGTTCATCTTGAGTGATATTTAAAACCATTTATAGGTCGAAATTTAAAAGTAGACAATGGGTGACAGTGATGATGAGTATGATAGGAAACGGAGGGACAAATTTCGAGGTGAACGAACTGAGTCAATCAGAGGTGGTGACAACCGAAGAGATGACCGTAGGATGAGAGACGATTGGAATGACAGGTAACGTTATTTTTATTAATTTCTAGTGTTATTTACACTTCTGAATGACTAAAATTACAAATTTTAAATCCCATTGTTAAAATAAGAGTTTATACGTTTTAGTTAAAAATAAAAAAATAAGTTGTGAATATTCAAGATACTAGTTGGGGGTATAATTTTTTTATTTACTTGGCTAAGATAAGAGTTATTATTTCATGCATTTCAAAAGATAATTTCTTTAGTATTTGTTGTGAAAAAGTAATATTCTATAGTCAACAAGTAGATATACTTGACTGAAAATAAATAATTTTAAACGAGTGAATTATAAAACAATATAATCTGAAACTAAAAGAATTTATATTAATAGTATTTTCTATATTTATTTTTGATTTTTCTTTCTTGGCTTTCCATGTAATAGCTAAAGAATCATTTCGTCTGCATTTATTAATAAAGTCACAAATGTTGACTGTAATATATTAAATTTTAAACCTTAGTGAAAAAATGTTCTGTAAGTTCTTTTTAGTTATGTATTATTTTTCATCCAATTCAGTAAGAATTTAATGAAATTAATGTTAAAATTTTAAACTGTATATTTATTACATTATAATAATTTATTAAATTCGTTTTCATTTTAAAAAGTTATTTACATTTTAATTTAGCTTTACTGGCTTACACTTTATTAAAAGTTGCCATTCATTAATTAAAGGTAATGATTATATTTATGTAAAAAAATTCATTTAATATAAGTGGCGTAACTTCAATATTTAAAGAAACTAGTAGAATGCTTTTATCACATTTTTTTTTATTATATTTCTACTTAAAATTACCAATACTATAATTTTTAATACTTATGTTGTTAAAACTTTGCTATTTTACCTAAATATATATATATATATTTTTTAAAGATAAGTTTAATTATATTGTATAAAACCTATTATATTTATTTTTTATTTTTTTAGCCGAATGATGAAAACTCCAAGGTACTTATAATTTGATAACTATTACATTTTTATTTAATTAATTTATTAAATTCTTAATAACATAATATTTTTTTTTTTTTTGCATTAAGTAGTGAATTTGTTGAAAAATGTAATCATAAATACATACAAAATAATTGTATTTTAAATAAGCTTAATAATAATTTTTCAATTTGTTATATGTTGCATAAACATTAATTCAATATTATTTATAACTACTTAAATTTAATTTAAATATACTTACATGATTATGTGTATAAGTATTTATATTTTTTAGAGAAACATGGGGTGCACGTAATAGAGGTCGTGGAGATTATAGAGGCCCAATGCGCGATCGTTATAGTCCTGGTGCTCAAAGAGACTTATCACCTCCAGTTAAAAGGATGAGACCTCCAGATTGGTAAGTGTAGTCTTATTAAATATTAGAAATACCCTCTTTAATTTATTGTATAAATCTATATTTTTTAGGGAAGATAGGCGTATTGGTTATGAACCTCCTGGTTATGGTTATGGTGCACCTTGGGAACCTCCTGCACATCATATGGCTCCTGTTTCTAGGTGAGTAATAAATATAATTTTTTAATTTTTATTTTTATTATTGTCTTATGAGTAAACCCTTTTCTAAGCGATAGACATAGTTACAATTAAGTTGTACAAAATTACCAGTATAAATATTTATATTTATTTTAGTATCTATAATTTGTATGAAATCAAAGAAATAATTAATTTTATATAAACTCAGATTATTCAATATGAAATTTACATTTGATTTTGTAATTAAACCAATTATGATTTTAATTTAATAAAAATGTCTAAGTAATTTAGAGACCATATGTACATATGTATATATTTCATTAAATTAAAAAAAATTATTTTTTACTTTAGTTTTGCTTAAAATGCAATAATTATAATTGTTTTATGAAATTTAAGAATTATGCCAATGAGAGATCCTGGAGCTCATACTGTAAGTCATTCTGCTCCACCAGCAGTAGACCAATCTTCAGGAGAAACTCAACCTCCAATGATGTCTTTGAAAGCTTTTTTGATTACTCAAGATGATAATATAACTGATGAGGAAGCATTAGAAAAGTATAATGAATATAAATTACAGTTCAAAAGAAACCAGCTAAATGAATTTTTTATCGCACATAAAGATGAAGAATGGTAATATAATTTTATAAATTATTTTAAATATTAAATAATTTTTTAATATGTTATTCTTAAAGGTTTAAGATTAAATATCATCCAGATGATAGTGTGAAACGAAAAGAAGAGCAAACCATAGCATTGAAAGTAAATAGATAAGAAAAAAAATTAAAATTTTATGAACATGTATTTATATATTTTATATTGTTTATAGAAACGATTAGAAGTTTTTAAAGAATTTCTAGCCAATGGTAAAATTGATTCTGTTTCGGTGGATGCTGAAAATACAGAGCCTTTGGTTCATCTTCTTGATTCAGTCGTTATAAAACTTGAAGGAGGCACAGATTTTGACTTAACTGTATTAGATCCTGTAGAGCCATTAAAAGCTAAAAATGAACCGGTATCTGAAAAAAAAGAATCAAAAAAAAAAATTATTGAGTAATGATTTTTACATTTATGTTATTATAAAGTTATAAAAATAAATATATGTAGAGCTGGATTTATGGGAAGACTGAGTAGGCTATATCCTTGGGCCCCCTCAATTAATTGATATTTAAATTAGAAACAATATGATACAGAAAAATGATTTTATTTATGATTACACATATTTAATTAAATAATACTGAACTTTATTTGAACATTTAAAATTTAATTTTAATCTAACTTAATAGTAGATATATTTAAGTTTATTGACAATGAACGGTGTTTTAGAATTTAGAAAAAAAATTTCATGCGTTTAATTTTAATTATTTAACATTTTTATAATTCATTTAATTATTAATTATGGCAATAAATATTATTTAATAAGTAAAATAGTATATTTTCTTGTTTATATTTAAGGGCCTCACAGTTTATTCAGCCCAGGAACTACTTCATACATAAATCAGTCCATATATATGTATTTAATTTTTAATTTTAAACCGTTTAAAATTTTATGTTTTCAATATTTTTTTATTTTATTTATTTATTTATTTATTTTTTTTTTTTTGTATTCTTCAATATCATTTATTTTTAGAAATAGTTTTTTAAAAAATATTTATATATTTGTGTGTTAAAATTTTAATTATGCATTTTATTAATTAAAAAAATTTTAATTTGTCAATGTTTCAGTGCTGGTGGAAATTCTGATGGTGAAGTGGATAGTGATAAAGAAGAAGGTGAAGAAGCAGATAAGAAAGAAAATTCAGAAACAAATAATTCTAAAGGTAAACTATGTCTTACTATATTAATAATTAAAAATGTAATATTACCAGGGACATATTTAGATGTTTCCCACATGTAGGCCTGTGGGAAATGTCTGCTCAAAATAACTAAAATAATACACCACACTAACTGAGTTATCATTTAATTACCTACTATATAAATATATTAACTAGTTGAGTATGCAAAACAAATTTTATTTAAATGCTAAAACATAATTTTTTAAGATTAAAACCGATTTTATTGATAATTAATAACAAAATACATTCTTCAAATTTACCACTATTGGCATGTGCCTATAATACCTGCATATAAATATGCTACTGAATATTACTAAAAACTTTTATGGAATTTATTAAAATGCTAAACATTATAACATAAAGTAAACTATGGTAATTAAATATTTGTAAATTTATTTTATCTTCATTCTATCTCATTGTTCAAAAAAAAAAAAAAAAAAATTGTTTCAAAACTTAATTATTTTGAAATAAAATATATACTGTAATTACAATTAGTATTTTAGAATAAATGCAATTTCATCTATTTTATGTTATTATTTTTAATTTTTCTGAAGAATTATAAAATGTTTATAAATTTTAATTGTTATTAAAATAACTTAATTAAATTAATTTTAAATATTTCTAGAAACTAAGGATGTAGATGGTGAAAAACCAGAAGTCATGGACATAACAAATGATAGCGATCAAAATGTTTGTATATATAAAAAAAATATTTTAACTAAAATAAAATGTATAGTTATTAATTAATTGTTATGTATCTTTAATTTAGGAGGATATTTTAAAACCAAGAGCATTGCATCGTACAACTTCAGTATTCTTGCGTAATTTATCTCCCGTTGTAACTAAAAGTGAATTGGAAACTGTAAGTAAATTTTTAATCATTGAAATTTTAACATAGTAAAAAAAAAAAAAAAAAATTGCAGATTTTTAAACGATTCCCTGGATTTATAAGATTGTCCATAGCTGATCCCTTACCTGAACGTCGCTGGTTTAGACGTGGTTGGGTAACATTTGATAGAAATGTTAATATCAAAGATATGTGTTGGAATCTGAGTAGCGTTAGAGTAAGTAAATGTTTTAACTATATTTAAAATTTTGTAATGAATAATTTTTAATTAATTAAATAGTGTTAGCAAATGCATTATAAAATTTAATTAATAATATTTATCCTATTTATTTTTATTATTTTTTGTAGTTGCGTGAATGTGAGTTGGGCGCAATAGTCAATAGAGATTTAAGTAAACGTATTCGATCTGTTAATGGAATTACCAATCACAGACAAGTGGCTCGTAATGATATGAAAATATGTGCCAACATAATAAACAACTTTGATAAACGTTCAGGATTATGGCAATCAGAGGGAGAGGAAACTGCTTCAGAAAATACTTATGGTCTAGTGTCACGTAATCCTGTGTTACACAACATCACTGATTTTCTTATTGAAGAAGCATCTGCTGAAGAAGAAGAACTTTTAGGTGAAAATGCTGCCTGTGAACCCGAGGACAGTACTGAAAAAGATTTGCTATTACTTAAGGTATTAAATAAGAATTTAAATGTATTATTCATTTAACTTTTTAAATATATATTATGCACAATATAGTTATAAAATTTATTAAATTGTAAAATAACTATGTGTATATTTTTAGGCCTTAGATAAAATGATACTTTACTTGCGTATTGTACACTCAGTTGACTTTTATAACCACAGTGAGTATGTAAATGAAGATGAGATGCCAAATAGGTGCGGTATTATGCATGCTCGCTGTGCACCACCAAGTAATCCTGTATGTATTTTATTTATTCACATAGTTAAAAATTTAACTTTCATTAACACTGCTAATTTTACAAAAAAATGTAGCCTACCCAACAAGAAATAAATGATTATAATCATAATTTCCAAACAAAAGCAAATTACCTGACTATTTCTACCCCTGCTGAAATAAGTGAAAAAGAATTATTGCAACTTGGAGCAAAAAATGAAGAAGAAGAAATTGAAAAGTTTGTTACATCTAATACTCAGGAAATTTCGAAAGTAAAGTGGCTGTGTCCTTTGTCAGGCAAAAAATTTAAAGGTCCCGAATTTGTACGCAAACATATTTTCAATAAGCATATTGATAAACTGGATGATGTGAAAAAAGAAGTAAATTTAAATAACTGTTTAGTTGTTATTATAAGTTCATAAACTTAAATTTTATATTTATTAAGGTCAAGTGTTTCAATAATTATCTTCGCGATCCAAAAAGACCTCAATTACCTGAACATCCTGGCAATTCCAAACAAGCTAGAAAAGATGTGAATGATGCTCCACAATCTTATCCGCCAGCTGCAAATCCGTAAAAATTATTTTATTTATTATTACATTTTTTAACAAATAATTAATTTTTTTATGTTATAGCTATCAAATGTCTGGTTATCCACCTTATGGAGGTGCTGGATTTGGCCGAGGAATGTATGGATATTCAAGACCGCCAGCTCGTGGGGGTTTTAGAGGTAGTGGCAGGTATGTATCATTATTTATTAATATTTATCCAGTATTAATTAATTTAATTAAAAGTAAATCATCACATATATGTTTTGTATTATTATGTTGTACAATTTTATTAATTTTTTGGTGGCTTTGATTACAGGCCAATTATTCATTACCGTGATCTAGATGCTCCTAAAGAACCAGAAGAAAATTTTATTTAAAAGCAGTAGCAATTTTATTGGAAAAGAAACAAAGTTAGAATCAGAGTTTATTATATATTCATGTATATAATATATACTTGGTCATTTTTTTTTAAATATTGTCTATCCCTATAATTTAAAATATATCAAAATTTATCTGTAACGGTTATTTATTAATCTGGCATTCATTTATAATATTTTGGATATGATTTTTTTATTTTAATAGTTAATTATATAAATGTAATTAGCCTTAGAGATAGTTTTACTTTACTTCTTAATTATTGGCATGCGTAATTACAAATGAATAAAAAATGGTCATGTATTACTTTTTGTTTATTTTTACATCTTTTGGTTATTTCAATTTGTGTGATTAATTTAATTAATATTAAAATAATTCCATTTTCAATAATTCTTTTGAGAATTCATTTCAAATATTGTTAGTGTTTTAATATGAAAAAATATATAATATATAAAATCAACTTCTTCTTATGTGCCTTTACAACTCTGAAAGTTTTGGCTGCCACCATCACTGATCTCCATAATCACGATCCTGTATCCTTTTCTCCCAATCTGTTCCAGCCTCTCTATATCTTGTTGCACTCCATCCATCCATCGTTTATTGGGTCTGGCTCTGGGTCTTCTGCTTGTATTCAATTGCTACACTAACTTCATTTGTTTCCCCTTTGTCTTATTATGTGTCCAAACCATTGGATTTTGTCCCTCTTCTCTGTCCCTTTACATAACTTGTTATGAGAGGTACTTTGATGATTTCCCTTATTTTTTTGTTTTTTATTCTATGCCTCCTATTTATTTCGGTATCATAAACTGGTCCACATATTGTTCTTAGTACTTTATTCTCAAAGCTTCTGAGTTTTTGTTAAACTTGCATTGTTAACCATAATTCGCATCATAGATTTACGTTGGTCTTACAATACTCATGTAGAGTCGTACTTTTGTTCCTCTAGAGCAGGGGTCGGCAACCCGCGGCCCGCGGGCCGCATGTGGCCCGCGAAGCAATTTTTTATGGCCCGCACAAAGGTGGTTAATTTTTGTGTTTTATTTTTGTTCAATAAAATCTTTCATACAATTTTCAATACTATTCAATTCTTTTTTCTTTATAAACAAAATCTAATCTAATCGTTAATAGTTGATGTTTATTCTATATAGTTATACAGTCAGTTTAATCAATAGAATTTTTATTATTATCTAATCGGAGTCGAAGATAATGATGGCTGCACTACTCAGTCATAGGATAAATTAAATATACTTATATATATTTAATAATTAAAATTTTAAATATATTTACTCTATGCATTTAATACTTATGTATCTAATATATTTAATCTATGGGCATAGTTACTTTGCGTTTGTAGCAATTAGTATTACACCGTGATTACGCCCGTACGTGTGACTTTTTGCGTTTGTAATAGTTTCATTTTACAAGTAAATCCAAACATTATGGCGACTAAAAAAGAACAATTTGTGATGAACATCATTTCTTTTAATAATTTTTTGGTTGATTTATACTTTTTCGTCGAAATCAAAGGTAAGCCATGATATTTAATTTGTCAAAAAATTAATTTTTTTCTTAAAAGCAATTTTTTCAGTAACATTCGTATATTTTTACATTCATATTTCTATATAAAATAATCAAATATAATAGCAATACAATTATTAGTATATATCATGTGTAAAAAATTTATTTTAATGTGGCCCTTGATAAACATTCGAAAAAAAAATATGGCCCGCGTGATTCAAAAGGTTGCCCACCCCTGCTCTAGAGCAGCGGTCGCTAACCGATGGTCCACAGAAAAATTTGAATGTTAGGTATACTTATAGAATCTTTTTGTCGTTATTTCCCAAAAAAATAAGATCCTAGACATGGTATTATGTGGATAATAGATCCATTGTAACAAACAATGAAAATAAAAAGTTAAATATGACAGAAAAAAAAAATACCTCATCAATTTATTTAATGGTAATTATGTAAAAAGCTATTTTAAGCTAAAAGTGGTTCGTAGAATTTAGAGCATATATTTAGTGGTTCGTGAGGTCCAAAAGATTGGCGACCACTGTTCTAGAGAATAGCTTTGACTTGAAATATTTTATTAATGAGAAAAAATTCCTTTCCACTTAGAGCAAGCGACTGATTATTATATAAAATCAATTAATCAAAACATTACATTTTGCAATATTAATAGTAAGACCTAATGAAAACAAATAATTTTTCACACATGGATACATCTTATTGCTTGTATGTGGGGGTAGGGAATACTAAAATGTCCAAATTATCATTCTGAATGTCAAATACTAAGTATCAACAGTGGCAAATGTAGGTATTTGCATTGCGTGCATATGCATTTTATTTGACTATGTTTTTTCCATGAATTTACTACGACAACCAAATTTTTATTAGAGAAATTGTTCATTCTACTTATTTGTATTGTGTGTAAGGTACATCCATTGGTATATTTGTGCATTGTGTGGATACTCTTTCATTATTAATATTATTATTGTATTATTATTATGTTTGAATTATTAATTCAATTCCTCTTATGTAATACTAATATATTTGTAATTTAGTATGTATCATAACTTAATTTTTCTTCATTATGAAAACTAAAAACAGTAAAAATAATTTATGTAATTCATATTAAATTGTTTTGTTATTTTAACAGAATAGCATATTTGTTGTACCTAGTACATTATTGAGCACATACAAGTATAGTTGTTATGTGTTCATTAATCTTTTGATGTTAATTTATCTTTTTATTCATAAATAGACTATTGATATTCACTGCATATTTATAGACTTGCTTAAATATAAAAATGGTTTTCAATTATGTCTAAATAATGTATTTTGAGAACCTTCCTCTTTAAATAGTAATGAAAATAATGAAATCAATAATATTAATGATTAATTGATTATTTGATTAGCATAATCAATATATATTGGTTTGAAATAAATTCATTCAAGTTATGAAGATTATTTGGCATCAATAAAAGTTATTACTTTATTAGAGTATTATAACTGTTTGATAATACTTTTAAAACAAACTTTAAAATAATTACCAGTAAATAATGCACTAATTGAATAGTAATACCATTGCACATGATTTGTGGAAAAATTCCTATTTGACCATTACCCTGATTAAACTGTGCATTGGATAGCTTATTTATAAAGTGCTTTATATCAAAATAATTCATAAATGTGGTAAAAAGTATACATCACAATTTAATGATACATAATATATCAAACCATGTTTAATGAACTTGTGCTGTTGGAATTATAACTTTAACATAATCATTAATACCAATTGAACTTTTGAATTTGAGTGGTAATTGAATTTACTAAAAATGATATGCGACATTAAAAGTTTATTCCTTGAAGTGTTTCTTCATAACTTATTAACAGTAATTTAATATGTACATAATTACAATTTACATTTATTACCTAATGTAAATTAATTACACATTGTCATCAAAGTGTTTGCTTGTAAATATAAAGTTTATAAATAATTTTGATATTAATATGCAAGTACTATATTTACCTTATTCTGTTAAAACAAAATATCAAATACGGATCATGTATAATAATTGAAATGTTGAATTTATAAACTCTTTAAAAAAAAAAAAACTATTTTCCTCAACATTTTGAATTTCACTGAATTTAAATTTATAATTAAATAATAATATTTAAAATATATTTAATATTTAATTAATATTAATGTATTTAAATAATAATTAATTTATTAATATTTAAAAAATGAAACATTTCAATGAAATGTTAGTGCTTTGAATATAATGTAATTTAATTTAATATCTATTTTGTCTTAATTTATTTCGAATATCAATTTCTATAAATTTAATTAAATTGCAATGTTTTTTTCAAACATTTGTGTTTTCTTTCTTTGTTTTATTTACCTAGCAATCAACAGTAAATTTATTGTATACAATATTAATCGAAACGAATATCAATGGACCACAAATAAATTTAAATTATACACGGAAACAAATAAAATATTTTTATAATCAGCAGCATAGTATTGGTGATCGTATACAATTGTAAATAGTTTTTGGTAGTTTTGACTTTTAAATTATTATACACCAATAATTCGCAATTGAATTCTAGTACCTGTTAAATGTTTATTCTGTTACAAAACGTGATCGAATTAATAAATTAATTATATCTTATTTGTTAGTTGTTTACATCGCGAGTGTTTGTTTCACAAATAAAAGTATTACTGGTATGGTATTACAGTGAAACCAGTACCTATCATTTGTTAAAACGTATTGTATTATCGTTGAAAATTACTATTTTCAACAAGTTGTAAGAGAATAATAAACGATTTGATCGTTTTGGTCACAGTTTGTTAGTTTGATATACATATCTTAGAGAACAGATTAAAGAATCCCTTAAACAAAAAAAAAAAAGCTACGAAAATCATTTCAAAAAGGTTTATTACAATATTTTTAATAGGTACATACGCCCAATGGTGGCTATCTCTAAAAATGCATCAGGTACCTATTCGCCTAAGAATAACTAGTACCTTATAACCTTGCCTATTTAGGTACAATTCAGTATATCGAATGCATACGTAATAAATTACACAATTCTACTTAGTTGAAAAAAAAAAATTAAGTGTCTTGTGTGTTGATACACCAACGTCTACAACCCATTTACTCCAATTATGAAATTGGCATCTTTTTTGGTAATAGATGGAAGCACTCAATGAAAATTATTATACAACGTAAAATAAGTATCTTAGTTTTGGTTTTCTGATTCCAACAAACATTTATAGATCTAGTGATGCGATGAGGTTTTTGAAATATTTATGAATTCGTTATGAACGTGTAATCTACGAGATCAATTTTTTATTATTTTTAATTTTGCCTCTATTTCAATAAAAATAAACGTAAAAATCTCGTTATTTTATTATTTTATAATTGATATTGGTGATAGAGGGATGGACTTGAAAAATGGAGAAAAAATAATTAAAAGTGGTAAAATCCATTTAAAGCGAGAAGTAGATTCTTTCATTTCTGTTTTTAAAATTCTAAATATGCACGAGGTCAAAGAGAAAATAGTTATTTTATTTTTCTAAATTTTGCACTCATCAACAATAAGATAGTTACTAATAATGGTAAAACATCACCACATATCCCTTCTTCTTCCGAGTACATCAATGTGTTGAATTTCTATCGAACCACGACCACATAGCTAACCCACAGTAACCGTAACCGACCCTTATAACTAAAACACGAATCGGAAGAGAATACTCTAATATTTTAGCTTAAACAGTAGGTGCTATAGATTTTCTCCAT